GAGAATATAAGTCTTTTAGTGGCTGTGATGCTGAAACCAATATAAGTCTTTTAGTGGCTGTGGTTCAATGACATTATAAAGAGTAATAAAAGAAGTCTCACTGAATAATACAAATGAAATCATGGAGGAAAGGTTATCTGGTGTGCACACAGAATTTTGAGAGGGAAGTAAATAAAATTGAAAAGAAATATGTCTTAGGTGAAGGGACTTAAAACCAGAAAATACAACAGAAAGAACACGTGAGTCATTTCAAACTGTCACCTCATTCCTAAATAATTATTGAAATCATCTGACCTCTACATTATTAATTCTGTAATTTACTAAAACTAACAGGCTTTATGACAGTGGGCAAGCCAATCTCTCTCTCAGATGACTTGTCTAATGAAAGCAGATTAGGCCAAAATTTTTAGAATAGGAAAAATGTATTAAAGTCATTTACTGATCTAATTCTTCCTAGTGGATATATGAAGCTCTTCTAAAACATCCCAACAAGTGCAAGTCAACCTTGGCTTGAATGAAAATGGAATTAAGGGACTCAGTATCTCCCAGGAAAGTGAATTCAAGTTTCAGATTGCTCTACAACACAAGTTTTCCCATACATTTAGTAATTTTGCACCTAAAAACATTTCTAAATTTTACAGCAAAAATTGGGATGCAAAATTGTCTCCTCCACATAATGCAATGACAATAGTCCCACAGTCACTTTTATATGAGTTACTTATAAGGTCTGATAATCAAAATTGGTTTCTGCCATTGTATATCTGACATTGACAAGTGTCTGGATCTTGATTTCTTCACTTGTAACTAACGGGCTTAGAATTTATCACATGTCTCTTCTAATACTGACGATTTCTTTCTGGCTGCATCTTGGTCATGAACTCTGTGGAACCTCACTTTGTTTTCACTATGGGAATGAGATATTTGGGGCTTTCATGAATAGAGAAATATCCTATTCTTTTTTTCTCTGACCTCTTCTAATTGTTATGGATATAGTTGAACAAATGCATGAACTGAAATCTTAACCTTAGTGAAATGACAAATAATTTTTAATAAGTTAAATCTTATAATTTCCTTAAAAAAGACAGAGTACTAGAATCTTACAAGTCAGAAAAAAAAAAACACACACACACACACACACAATAGAGAGCCAACCCAACCACCCACTAGGGGAGAAATCCAGAATAGATTATCCCAAATATTTTGCTTTCCAGTTTCTGCTGAAACTTTTCTAGTGTAAGGTGCTTAGTGCTGTGTGCATTGATCCTGTTCTATTGACGAACCTAGCCTGCAGAAGGTATATTCAAATGTTCCAAAATTGACTTCCCTAAAACCACTCATTGGTTCTCATTATGCTTTTTATCATGTCGGAATGGATATACCTCTTGATTCTTAGCAATCCTATAACCTTTCAGATACAAATACCATAGCTCATCTTTTCCCCCCACCCCTTCCCAAACTTTGCTTCTCCAAGCTATAAAGCTCCCATTCCTTTGTTTTCCACACCTTTACTATCCAGGTTCCTAGACATTGGGTGATTTTAGCTTGCTGACATCCTCTTTAAGATATTATACCAAAAATATAACAAACATTTCAATTAATACATTATTTTTGCACATATATCAAGCCCAGTTCCAGAAAACCAGGGAGTCGGTATACTTCAGCTAAATAGGTTATTGCACAATTTTCTTAGTACCAGAAAGCATTCTGCTTGCCTTCATATCTCTGTATCTAGATATCAGACATCAACCAGAGCCAGTCTTCTCTCTTGCACAGTGGTGTCAAGGATTCCAATTAGTCATTTCTTAGTGCCTTTATCAGCTAATACCAGGCTGGATGGCATGCTGTCCATTTCTTACGTTCTTAGATCCTATGAGCAGAAATATCACCAAGAGTTCCACTCTGACAATCTGAGCAGCTCATCCAAAATAACATTAGGATCAAATACAGAAAAATTTCTTCACTACATTTTGAGTTATATGTATGATGACTTGCCCAATTGACTATTTTAAGATGTTTTTACCTCTTCAGAATCAGACCTATGTATGTCTTGCTTTAATATATCATAATGAACGTGGTTTTGTCAGATCTTCACCAAGTGGAACTGAGTTGAGGCAAAAGCCTGGGTAATTCAGACAAAGTATCTTTTCAGCCTATGGAGTCTTTGATCAGAATTGAAGGCCAAAAACAAAAAGTGCTATCATGTTACATTAAGTTGAAGCTAAATTGTGTCTATCCTCCACTGTCAACACTAACCCCCTTGTATAAAAAAAGGAAAGGAAAACTAAGAGAACTTTGCTACTGAACTGTTTGCTACCAATTTCAGGGAATACTGTCTGAAAGAAAATCATGGCACAGAGTGGCGGCTGCCACAGGCCTGAGCTCTTCCCTGCCCACCTAATGTAGCCCAAAAGAAGGAACCACCACAGAGGACCAGGGTAAGACAATTGAGCACCTTCCCATGTTTAATGCTTGTGAATAGAAGACAATCATTCTGAGGACTGCAGGACTCATCAATCAAGCAATCATGCTAATGGTGTTCACAAGTTACCTGCATTTTCAAGACAAAAGGTCATGAAATACACCTAACCTGTTCATCATAAACCTCTAACAAGCTCTAGCATCTCCTTGTGAACGCAGAAGAAAGTGAATGTCTGGTGCTTTTAAGTTTGTGCTAACATCTCACTTAATGTTTAAAAACTTCCCCCCAAAACACAGTACTCACTTTAAAGATTCTCAAATCTTTTAGAGTAGCTGTTCTTCCTGGGATTGGAAGAATTTGAGATTTTTTTTTCCCCTTGTATAAAAATATCCACCTTCCCTTTCAGGTTTCCAGAAAGATTCTTATTCCTAATCACTTATTTTCTATAATCAAGTAAAACATTTGCCCAAAACTCCTGCCTTAAAACGCTGCTGTCATTTCCTAAACTGGGGGAAGAGAGACTAGATTTGTTTTTAATGGCACATCTACACCATCTAAGTTAATGAGAGATTCATATAGTGGTAAAGACAAAATGCCAATAATGCTTCGTTTCCAGAAGAAAAAAAATGTATTGGGCAAAGAAATGAACAAGGAGTTAGAAGTTTGGGTCCTACTCTGATTCTGAGCTAGTTCTGATTTTCATCAGGAATTCCTTCCATCTTGCCAAGCCTCAATTTCCCCATCTATGAAGGGTAAAATGAATCCTTGTTATCTGTGCCTCACAAGATGGTTGACTGATAAAGAGCACTTCGGAAAATCCAAACAGCTATACAATGCTTGTGTTTTTAAAGCAAGAGCTTTGCCTCCTAAATGGTGCAGATTAGACAAAGGTCTCACTCTGGCATTCATCTTTGCTTAAATTAATTCCCCCAACTCTTCCGTGGGAAAAAAAAAAATGTTCTGCTACATTCATAGAATCATAGAACTCGGACCTAGAAGGATCTTTAGGATTTATACCATTATAGAAATAAGGAACCAAAAGAGTAAATATAATGAAGCTCACACTGTGTTCTCTTAGTTACTTCACATCATTAGAAATACCTAGGACCGGACTCCACGGAGCCAAGTTCACCCTCCTCCAGTCTTCCTGGCCTCACTTACGAAAATATACACCCGAGTTACAGGAAGTCGGAAACTTGAGGATGAGGATGGCCTCTGGCAAGCTGCTATATTTGGAAAGTGTACTACTAGGTATGTAGTGTCGTCACAATTCGTTAGCATAATTTCAAACTGCAAATATCAAGAGATCGCCATACCTTTAGCATTTGAGTAAATAAAAGAAAGAAAACATTTGCGGGGACATTCCCATGGAGGTGGAACTCAACACTATTTTAAACGTTTAAAAACCGAAAAACCAGGGAGGGAGGTGGGATCTGTCAAGGAAAGGTCCTTAGCCCTGTTGACTCCCACCGAGAACAGGAAACTGCTGGGGGCGTGCGTAGGAGGACGCGGTAACAAACGATTCCCGGAAACTCGAGTTCGTTCCCAGTTTTGCCCGGAGAGCCCTTTATTTTCTGAGTCTGCAAACCTAGGAATAGAATAGACCTCCCGGGGGAAGGGAGGAGTTACGCGCAGGGTCAAACTCCAGATGCACCTCAACAATCCCCAAACAGGTGCACGCCGGGAAAGGGATGCGATTCCCCTTTAGCCACAAACTGGCTCAAACTCCATATTCTTTAAAATGCAAACAAGAAGGAGCATTTCCACACACAGCCCGAGAAACACTTTAAACATATCTGTGACTCTTGGGACTTGGAAGAGTTGTGAGACGGGCGGGCGACGAGGTCGGCGAGTAGAAACTGCTGGGCGCATTTTCTCTGCCCGGACCTCCGGCGGCGCGGGCGCTGCTCAGTATGGGGGCGAGGATGGGGGTTAAGAACGCGGGTATTTGCGGGGGCCACCGCTCAGGAAGGATTCTAGGGTGTGGAACTGAGAATCCTTGAAGGGGAAAGCGACCAGACAGGATGGAAGCGCTGCCCTGAGGAGGGACGGGAGTCGCCTTAGTATTTGAGGTGGGGGTGCAGGGGATCCCAGTGGGAGGTGAAGGACTAGCAGCGCGAGTCTGTCCCGGAGTGGACGTTCGAAGGATCAGATTGTGGCTCTACCTGGATCCCCGCAGAGCGGGAGGCCCAGACGCCCCTTACCTGCAGCCAATCGATCAGCCCAAGGAAAGGCAAAGGGTCCGGGTGGAGAGGCCGCGAAACCTGGACAACGGAGCTGGGGGCAGGTGGTTGAGAAGAGAGGGCCGAGGGGGTCTGCGATCCGGGCGGAGAAAACGTCTCCCACAGAATGAGAAAGCCGAGGGCCCTTGTTCCAGTGGCGCGCTTAGGCGCAGGAATGCACTAACCCAGGCGCACGTCGCCGCGGACAGATAATAAGGCGGGCGGGAGCTGGGGGAGGGCGGGAGCCGAGCCACGGGCCGCGCACGTTCCGCACGGGTTGGAGGGCTCACAGGTGGATTTTGTTTTGTCTTCCAGGAGCTGATCTCCCAGGCCCGCCCGGGCCCCGGGCCCCGGGCCCCAGTTTTCCAGTGCGGGAAGGAACCGCGCCCCGCCCGCGGTCTCCTACCCACCCTCCCCAGCCCCAGGACTCAGAGCACGTGCGACCCCGAGGCGAGCTCCGCCTCGTCCCCAATGTCCACCTCGTCCTCGGGCTCCGTGAGCACGAAGGGGCCGGCAGGCAAGCCCAGCCGAGCCTCCGCGGGCGCGGCCTCTGGACCGCGGGGGCTACCCTCAGGGCTCTCGGACCCATCCGGCCCTTTGGGCTCATCTTGGCTTTTTCTCAGCTGCTTTTTATGCTTCATCCGTCGGTTCTGGAACCACGTTTTCACCTAATTTCAAGGAGAAAAAAGATGAAACAACGTCATTCCTCGTACCCAGTTACTGATAAGAGCTGAGGGTGTGCCGGGGGTTGGGGAATAGACCGTATTCCATTGACAAGTTATCAAAATCAGTGCTGACAAGTCACCTGACAAGTCACCCACCGTCTTAGGTCGAGTGAGAATCAAACAAACTGAAGTTCCCAGAGGGAAGTAACTGTCCCGAAATAACGATGAGGGTCAAAATTTTGTGTTTGGTAAACACTAATACTCTTATGAATTAGAATTAGTGGAGTGCTGCTTGGATGAGTCTCCTTTACATTTAATTTACATTCCTCTGGGTGTGAAACCTAAACACCTGCTCCAGCAAGGCTCCAAACTTGCTCATTCTCCTCGGAGAGAATCACGGGGCCTGGCAGGGCTAGTGATTCCACAGTAAATTGGGTTTCCAGGTGTAGCGAGAAGATAAGAGCGCCTGAAGGAAGGAGTTTTGAGGTTGCAGGTGAATAGTATCTGGAAGAAGATGAAAACAGTTCTTCCATCCGGGACAGGGAAATAGGAGGCTAAAATTACAGCAGAGGGGAGGAGATAGGACTTGTGACTGTGAGAGAGACTGAAATAGGAAGGGGGAAATCCCCTTGCGTGGGTTTCTCATAAGGAGCCCACCTAACCTCTTGTCATTTTACGCCTGACCCGGGTTGCTGCCCTGATTCCGAGAGGAGGGAGGGAGGCACACATGTGATTGTTCTCAAACAGAGCGACTAGCCCCCAGAATAACCCGAGGGGGGTTTTCCTTGGTGTCCAGCCGGCTGGAGAGATTTGGCTTCAGTAAGTCTGACCTGAGGTTGGAGGTGCTGGTGCTTTTACTAAGGCTCTTCGGAGAATCCTGGAATAAAGGCGAGCAGGATCATTCCCACTCAAGAACGCTGCAGTGGGTCCTGAAGGTGTTAGGAGCTGAGCGGGAGAGAAAAGCAAAGCCAAAGCAAGGCCTCCCTCTCCCTCCTGCCCACCTGCGTCTCAGACAGGCTGAGAGCTGTAGCGAGCTCCACCCGCTCCGGCGTGGACAAGTAGCGCTGGATCTCGAATCTTTTCTCCAGACCAGAGAGTTGGGAGTCGGAAAAAACCGTGCGAGCTTTGCGGCGGCGGCAGTGCTTCCCCGGCAACTCCGTGTGCTGGGGGTGCGGGAACAGGGCTGGGACTGGCACCCCTGCAGAGAGAGCAGCCAAGGGGGCAGAGCCCAGTCACTCCCGAGCAACCTTCACCTCACTCCCCACCCCTAGTCCCTAGCACCTCTCACTTCTTGCTTCCCTCAACTCCCTTCCTCCAGCCCAAAGCTTCCCAAAACCTAATCCCAGGAATTCGAGGGGGGAGGGCGGAGATCGCCAGAATAGCGCTTGGAGATCATTATCGGGAAGGCCACCTAGAAATACAAACAATGAACAGTAAGTAAAATGGAAACATAAAATTATAAAATAGAGCCAGAGGCCGTAAAAATGTCATCTTGGAAAGACCTCCCATAGCGTCTGCTTGCGTCCAGTCCTCTACTGCGCCCCTGGAAGTTTTCTTGCGAACATCCCTCGGTCCAGCAGTTGTCCCCCCAACATATACCCCCATCCTTTCAACCCTTGACGACACTGCGTGAATATGACCTTGCCTCCCAATCTCACTAGAAACACCTCTTTTCAGAGCCCTCGCATTTTCCCGCCTGCAGCCAAAGGGAACAGATCAAAAAAAAACTCTTATCCAAAAAGGCTCCGAGCAAGAATCCTGGAACAATTCTCGCCTCGCGCGTTTTTTAATCAGTTTTGGGGTTGCCTTGAGACCCAACTTTCTGTTCCTCATTATTTTCCTCTGACTGCAAACAAAAGAATTGAGGAGCTCCCACTCTCCTCATGTTTCTCCTTCCCTAGGAGAGACTTATGTCTTTCATGATACTCTCCAGCTTCCGCTGTGTCAGAGACTCACCAAGCAGACAAGCTGCCACAGACATCAATACCGGCGAATCCCAGAAAAACAAAAACATCAAACTAGCAGTTTGGGTATCATGGGCTTGGGCACCGCTCTGTGGGGGAACATGTGTGCAGCCCAGAAGAAACTGTTGCTAGCCAGGCAGTGAAGCTAATGCCCAGATATAGACATCAAAGACTAGACTTTCTTACCTTACCTGTTCAATCCAGTGTCCCAGAATCTGGGGTTGACTACCTCACACAATTTTAGCTTTTGCCCTGCAATCCAGTGCCCATATTTCACAAACTGCCACATGTTTCTCCACAGTCCCAAACCCACCAGAGTTGTTTGTCCTGATGCACGCTCTGCATCTGGACTCAAGGAACTAGTCCATTCTGGATGGCATGAAAAACGCCAAAACATAAAAAATAAGCCTGACTGTGACCTTTCAGAGAGTGGCAGAAAAAATTCAGGTATTTTCCATGTCTCCCTGTTCCAACCTGACTTTGCTGATTCCAGCTCCTCGCCACGCCTGGAAAATCAAAATACTCTGACAGTGTTCCAACCTCACAGGCAACTGGGGCAGAGGAGAGCAGTGGAGTCCAAGATTGTGAGTTAAATGCTAGATATTGGGAGTAAAGAGAGTTAAAGAGGGCTGTGTCGTCCCTCTCCTTTTTTCCTTACCCCTTCTCTCTTATGCAGTCCAGCCCAAATCTTCAGTCTTCAGAGCATCCCAAACCATGATTAACTTCTATACCCACAGAGTATGAATACTCAGCGCCCAGGAGGAGAGAGCTGGCCCCACTGGAGCATTTCAAACTCCTGAGTTGGAAAGTTGTGTTCCAGTCTATGCATGCATTGGGATGGTATGGGGTCTCTCTCAGAGCAAGGAGAAGCTGGATAATCTCAACTGTGAGAGAGACCAAAGTGGCCAGGAAGAGGGAGACTAAATACTGCCTATCAAGAATACCGTGAAAACCTCCAGCCCCCTCCTGGTTAGGCACATTCCCAATATAAGAAATACCGAGTGACCATGAATTATCCCTGAGGGTTGGCATGCCTGGAGGGAGTTTCACATGTTCTCAACTACATCCCCTACCTTCCTTAGTCTCTTAGAAAAGGAGGCCACCAAGCCAGGTGGAGCCAGCTCTGCTTATCCAAGGCTCCACCACAGGCTCAGGGACGGTCCTGGAAGACCTAGTCTCTCATTCCCCATTCCTTAAGGTCCCTCTTACTTACCTGAAGTGGTGAGGAAATAAGGGTGATGGTGGTCTCCCTTATGCAGAGGATGATGGGGGTGAGGAGCCAGGAGAGTGGGTGTGGGCATGAGGGGGTAGCCATAGTCTAGCAGAGGCACCCGGGATGCCAGAGAGCTGGCAAAATGATCTGGAGCCACCTCTCTTAGCGGCTTAGGCTTGTGCAACAGGATGTCCTCGATGAAGAAGGATGTGGGCCGCTGAGAAGAAGCAGGGTGTAGAGGGGAGGTGAAGTTGAGATTCATCTTGAGCCGAGCGCCTGCCCCAGGGCGAGGGCCGGGGACGAAGTATTGGAAGCAGGCAGCGTCTCAGCTAGCCTAGTCGACAGTCAACAACCACCACCCTCCGAGGCTCGGATCCCCGCTGCTCTCTGCTCGGCCAGGGCTACCCCGGGCGCAGGAGAGGCGAGAACACCAGCTCCAGGGTAGGTTGGGTTTACGTGTAAGAGAATTGGCAGCTTGGAGAGGGGAGTCTGGAGAGCCAATGGCAAGGCTGCCAGCGTCAGAGGGGAGGGTGCGGTGGACACGGGGCGGGGCGGGGAGCTGTCTGCGGTGCTGAATACGACCGGCCAGGCCGAGGAATTGCGGAGCAGACCAGTTCCTTGTTCCTACCAGATTTCTTGTCCTCAATTTCTGCTCCGCCTCTACAGGAGCTGCTTTGCTCCCAGGCCACTTAAAAGTAAACTGTCTCTGTCATCCGACAAACTCCTCTTTAGAGAGAAGAAAGCATTTAGAGGACCCCAAAACAATAAGGACAAGGCAGTTATTCAGGCATCTGGGTTTTAAAACTTTAGAGAAATGATAGCAAACTGAGAAGGGGAGGTGCGTGGAGAAAGAGTTCAAATCTGCCAGAGCTAACTTAAATTGATGAATGAGGGATGACTGGGTCGTTGAGATAAAGTATTTGATAATGATCATAATATTCTTTACCTCAATTATACTGGGGGAGAGGGGTATGAGGAAAGTTATATCTATATCAGCCAAGTAATTTGGTTATTTTCAGAGCTACTTTTTAATACCAGCCTCCACTTCCTATCAAATTTTCATTACTTCTTTCTCATTCCACTCACATAGTGTGCTATTTGTGCTATACTAGCCCTTTCAACCCTGGTCCCCCAAAATAATTGTGCTAGGTTTTTGTTTCCCATTCCTTTTCTCAGTCCCTTTTCATTTCTCTCAAACCCCCCCCCATCTTTTGGGTTTTTTTATGTTTGTCTTTTTCTAATCTGTCACATTTATTCCCCTGGAGAAAATTTGCTAAAATTAAGGTGATCATCTACAGCACAGCAGGGGTAATTTCAGCTCGCATCTCCGAAAATTGCTCTAATTATTGATGTTAAACTCAGGGAAATTAAAAGAAGCCACTTCTCTTCCATCTCCCCATTTTTAAGCTCTAATTTGTTGAAATCTAGTCGTCATCACAATTCCAATCACTACAGCTAATAGTAAAAGTGTCTTAATAGAGACTGAGTCCTCACAACCCATGCTATTAGATAATTAGGGGAGATGTTAGAAAGCCAAGTGCTAATCCTTAGGCGCGCTGGTAGGATTTCCATCTGATCTAGCAGGTAGAACAAATTAATTACCAGAATCAATTAGGCCCCAAACTACAGTGCTCCAGGAAGTGAGAGCATCGTATTCCATACGGATGAACTGCTAAATAGTAAATAGATGAGGAGAGTGAGAGGAAGGACGAAGAAAGAAGAAAATAACTTTAAAATATGATCTTGGAGAGGAGGCATTTAAAGGAAATCAAGATACTTCGACCTGGAGTCTAGCATGTGATTTTTTAACGTTTGTAATGGTAAAAACTGAAGACCCAAGGGCAGGTGGGTCTGAGAGGGAAATAGATTCCCAGGAGTCCTTCCTTAATCCTTAGCGCTGACTCCACCATCTCTCACAGGGCTAGAGGGAGCAGAAGACTCATGAAACGGTGTTGGAAGTGACGGTCCTCACCTAACTTGTGAGTCTAGAGCTTCAAGTCCACAGCGAAAACTCAAGAGAATCCAGCAAGTGTGAGAACAGCTATCCTATCTAACAAAGACCCTAAAAGCTGAGTAGCAACTGGGGGTGGGGGCGGAGTATACAGACCCCGTCCTCAGTAAAGAACCTGACTCTGCCAGTATGAGCCCTACACACCAGCCCTACACGCACATCTGTACCCACCCTGGGGGGTCGGGTTTCACCTTCATTCTAGGGCGGGGACTAACTTCTGCCTCAATAACTGAAAGGAAGAGACTATTGAATAGCCCTTTGGGAGCAGAGGCAGTAAAAAGTGTCTGTGGGTGATAGTTACCCCTGAGCCACAGCACTGCAGATTCTTACTAAGAACTTAACCTTAGACTTTGCCCAACGTGTTCGTGGCATCGGAGGAGGGACGGGAAGAGGTAGGCTGCCAGCTCCATCCTTAGCCTCCTTTTCATTTACTATACCCCGGACTCAGCTGCTCTCCCCTCAGCCTGAGGCTCTGTCCCCAGGCCCTGCCCCGTGGCCGGGAAGTTGAGGGTGGGGGTCAGAGGGACTCCTTTGGTTTCCCTTTTTCCAGTTTTGCTAGATCACATTGGGATTCACCTTGCCTGCCCGAAAGCCGAAAGACTTGAAGTCATTTCACATGGGAATCCAGCAATGTAGCCTTTCCCAGGCCCCGGTAGGAACCTAAGATACTGAGGGAGGAGACTGGAAAGCTGTGAGACCCGGCAGGAGCTTGAGGACTGCTGGCGTTTTCCTTTTCCTTTCCCTTCTGTCCTTTTCAGCTACCCTGGGAAACAATGCTTTGTGGCTGAGAGGGTACGACTGGCCGCTGGCACCAAAGCCGGCCCCTGGGGGCGCTGGGGCGAGAACTGGGGCTCTCTCGAGCGGAGGACAAGACCGGGATACCGGGCTCGCCACCTTTTCAGTGGAGACCCGGTTCTTCCAGGGTGTTCAGATAAATCACTGCCCGAGTTTGTCGCGGAGGGGCCGTGGGACCTGAGTCCAATACCCACATGGGCAGGCTGTGAAAACAGGTCTTGTCCCGGAAAGTTCCTGTCTGGTCCCTGTCTCACTTTTCTCTTAGAGTTAGGGCGCAGGCCCTCCAGGAAATCGCGAGGTCCAAAAAGCTAGGAAGTTTCTCTCTGCTGGTGGGGCTCCAGAGCAGGAAACCACCCCCCCCCATTCACCCCGCAATGCTGTGGTTACAGATGCAAATCCCTATTTCCGCTAGGGGCACTGGACTGACCCATCTTTTGGCTGAGGTTGGGGGAAGTCCCCACCCCACCACCACTCCCTCCCGCTCCAAGATGTTCAGACCCCTTTGGAAATTCACTTCTAATTTGTCCTGTGGTAGAAGGAAGAGGGAGGCATTCCAGAGCCCGCAAACCTTTTTTCCCCCTCTCCTGCTCCCACCAAGCCTCAGATCAGTCTAGGTAACAGGTAAATGTTATCTTTTTAGATAGCTTGGAAACAACTCTCCCCATCAAAGAGGAGAGGTTTCTTCTCCTGGATTATTTCTAAAGCCTAGACCCGTGCTATCTATTAAATAATAATGCCAGCCACATAGGTGATTAAATAGATGAGACGAAATAGATGAGATATTAATGTATTTCATTTAACACAATATATCAAGAAATTATTATTCAACATGTATTCAACATAAATATGAATAAGATTTTTTTTGCATTTTTCTATACTAAATCTTCAAAAGTCAATATATAGTTTACACTTACTGCACATTTCAACTCAGATTAACCATATTTCAGACATTCAATAACTGCATATGGCTGTCTACACATGTCTAACCAATGCTGTAACCCACATAATTCTCCCCAATGTAGTATGGAAACACACAGAAAATGGAAAGCTGTCACTGATGCCAGCCTAGCACATTTTCAATGCTGGCCCTTCATCCATCCATTATATTCAATTATTGTGAATATTCATTGAGCATCTACCATACATGAGGCTACTCACTACATACCTTCCCAAACTTTCCCCAAACCTAAGAAGATTAAATAAATATATTGATATTGCATTTACTTTTTAATTCTCATTTGACTAAAATCTGTCACCCAAAGCCATCAGGCAGTAGCTCTTTGCCAGACTGACACACAAAGTCAGATCCTGCACACTGCCTAAGGAAAAAAAAAAAGAAGACGAAGTGAATTTCCCCCATCCTGCTTGCAAGACCTAATAGAATTTCTGCTTACAATTTCAGCTGAAGTATTACTAATTTAAAAAGAGAAAAGACATGTTTTCCAGGGAGCTAATAATTAAACAGCCCTTTCTCTTTCATGTCAGCCTCATCTAAAACTGTCATCTGATCTGGGACTTAGTTTCCCGAAAAGATAACCCTATTGATGATCAAAGGAAGAGACTGGTTCCATTAGCCAAGTTGCCTATACTGCGGCCTTCAAAATAAAGGGAGAAATGTATTTTAGAAGGATCTGAGTAACACACTTTACTCATAACATTTTGTATTATATTGCTTGTTGTCTGTTTCAACTTACCTCTATTTGAGTACTTTATTTTAAGCACTACCAAAGTGGATGACATGTCTAGAGAAAGGACAGGAGTCACTGACTGCTCCCTGCAAATGCATTTTCAAATAATGCTTTTACACTGGAAATTAGGATGGGAAGTTGCATGAGACTACATTCAAGGGTAGAATATTCAAATTAGACTATTTCTCATGTAAGGAGGTTTAGATACACCAAATTTGCTTATATGGGACCAGATCAGTCTACAGGATCAAAACCTTTCATTTCTCTCTTGAAGTTTTCTATGCTTTGTATTTCTCTGACTTCTCAAATCAACTGGTAGAAAGACCTGGAGTGGGGAATTAAAGATTTGAAATATGAGAGGTCATATATCATTTCTGAATCCTCTGAGAGGTATGTGGTAAAATGAAAATGATCTTCAAATCACTTTCTGATTAGGAGTTCACCATTTTCCTCATCCAGTCCTAAAAGAGCCGCCAAATATATTACCAGAGAAAAAAATTAATAACCTAACAAAAAACTGCAATTTAAATATCCTTTTCTTCTATTCTAAACCATCCAAATTCTATTGTCAGTCTTAAAACATAGCACCTACTAAAATAATAAACTTCAAACAATTATACCAAATCAGTATGCTTAGTTTTGAATATAAAGGGGCACAAATTATTACCATTATCTGTTGTACTGTGAATTTCTGTTGTTAAAGATTATAATACCCGGGCCTTCCCGGTGGCACAGCTGTTGAGCACTGGGTTGCGAAGCTGCCCACAGCCTCTGCAGCGCCGGTTCAATCCCTGGCTGCTCCCCGGCCACCAGAGGAGGGTCCCACATGGCGCGCAGACCTCTCCTGCCGCCGGCTGCTCCCCTCAGCAGTGTACTTCAGTCTTTCTGCCTGCTCTGTTCCCCGCTCTGGCTCTGGTGAATTCTCTCACCCTCCCGC